GGTGCGAACCGGCTGAATCCCACCACTGAAGGCTACGTTATGTAATTACAATCTTCGTTTAAGGCCATCCACTTTAAACGGAAGTTATGGTTATTTCTCTGTATATGAGTGATGAATCATAATTAGAATATACACCAGTTGCAATACAGACTAAAAATTAGAAATATACATTGTTTTGAACAATTTTTATGCCGGATACTGAATATCTGTATTATTGTCAAACATCCCATTTTGTGATTCGAATTCCGAGAGGTGGCAGCAAGATCAAGAAAAAGGACAAACCAAGGAAGAGGTGGATGATTTGTTCTGCTATGTATTTATTTTCGAGATCTTTGAAGACAGTTGTAAGACAGCATTTTAATATAATCAAACATAAGCACTCCTTGCCTAAATTAAGATTGGTTTTACTTCTATTCTATTGAGTAAACTCTATAATACATTTTTAACTTTAAGTTAACATAAAAAGATTAACTTTAAGGGCTACAGTGAACATGTTGTTTCATCCATTACTATCTGATTCTAGGGTTATCCCATCTAATAAACTAAACTTTAAAAAATAGTAAAATCAGCGAAAGACAGCCCTTATAATTTAAGTGCTTACCAATTCTTTTCTTAAATTTACAGAATCAATCAAAAGCCATCATCCTGTCAGTGTCACTTAAAATATAATGAAACTGTTTGCTGAAGATTGGTCCTGCTCTGACGAAATTTATATTTGTGTCCCCATATCCTACCATTCTCACCTATAAAAGTATCAGGAAGTAAAAAGATGATACACTATTACTGTCAATTCACTTAACTATCTTAAATACATCAGTCAGATCTTCTCTGACTCTTCGTTTTTCAAGAGGAAACAAGTTTAAAGGTTTAAAACCTGTCCTAATCTAACAGCATTTGCATCCTAGGTATCATCCTAGTAGTCCTCTTCTGAACCCTTTCCAATAATTTAATATCCTTCCCAAGGTAAGGAGGACGTTAAATTATTCCAAATGAGACATAACTAGTGACCTCTACAATGAAATTACAACATCTAGACTTGTATTCAGTATTTCTGTAAATATCATCTATTAATTATAATTCTATTTGACTTACCACTAGCAATAGCACATTGCTTGGATGACTAAGAATAAGAGATTTATAATGTTAAAAAGCCACCTGTAATTTATTCACCCAACTTGCCAAATACTCTAATTATTTTACAAAATGCTAGTATCCTCCTCATAGCCAGCAATATCCAGTATCATAATATCAGAAAATCAAAATAGTTCAGTGACCATTCTTTCATCTACATTATTAATGTAAATCAAAAAGAGCAAAGGTACTAATGCGGAGCCCTGAGGTACACCACTTTTCACATTAATACAGTTTGATGAACTTTTCTGCTTCCTTCCATCCAGCTATTTTTTATCCAACTAGCCATCTTATTCCCTTTATGTAGCATCTTGTCATTTGCTTTCTGAAAATCCACACCCTTACCCTCCTTTTAATAAGCAGTAACTCTTACAATAAGTGTCAATAGATTAGGAAGACTAGATTTTCCCCTAGTGGAAACATTGTTGACTACCCAACAAAATTTTCAAAAACTTATCCTACCACTTATGTAAAACTAATAGGTGAGTAATTAGCAGGACAATTTTATCACTTTACTTGAAAAGGGAAGTAACATTAGCCAATTTCTTATCTTTGTTATCTGATCACTATTCAAGAACTTACAAAAAACAGTAGCAAGTGGCTCACATTTTCAATACTTAACCTCCTTCAAAACCCTCATTATTATTGGGCTCAGGAGCCTTATTATTCTGTAAGCTTCCCAATCTTTTATAAACCCACTCAGAATTAATAGGATCATTTTGTTCCATATTGTTTCCATCAAGAAACTTCTAAGATTGAGAAATATTGTTTATATCTTTATAGGTAAAAGTTGAAGAAGTTAAATATAATAGCCCAGCCATATCATAATCATCAGATACGAGCCTTCCTTTATCATCATACAAAGGCCTTAGCTACTTCCATCCTAATGTTTTTTTTACCCTTAATGTATTTTAAAGAAATCCTTAGTTTGTTTTTACATTTTCAACCAACCTTATTTCCCGTTTGACCAACTCTCTTGATCTTTTTTAACCCCTTATATCTTCCATCATAAAAGTCAATATATATTTCTTAAATTTATGATACTTTTCTATAATTTTATTCCTTATAACCTTTGTAAGTCAACCTTGTTGTTTACTTGCAGCCTCTCTTTTTTTTCTGTGAATATTTTGAAGCCTATCTTGAATATTTAAGAATTTATGTAAAAAATATTTCCACATTTGATCAGTATATCCAATTAATTCATTTGCCCAATTCTCAGCAGATAATTTTTGTTTCATCTCTTCAGAATTTGCTTTTTTGAAATATGTAACCAAATTCTCATTATTCCTCATCTACATGTGCAGTAAAATATCAAACCTAATTGAGTAATGATGAATTTCACCTAAATATTTTCCAATCTTCACATCAAACATTTCTATATTAGAAGTTTATATCCTTAAAATAACATTGTTCTAGTAAATTTTCTGACCAATTGGTGAAGAAAATCATCCTGAAC